TGAATTAAATGCAATTCTACAAACAAAAAGGTGGATGAGAATGTGGATATATAGTAATTACACATATGTCGGAGTTTGTCGAGATCATCTAACATGCTTTACAAAATACAGTAAGTGTTTTGCATATATTTAAAATATCAATTTTCTCTCTCTCTCTCTCTCTCTCTCTATATATATATATATATATATATATATATATATATATATATATATATATATAGTTTGTTTTGTTTGTTGCAGTTTTGGAACAAAAAAGTTTGCCTTGACTGATGAACTTGAAGATACGATCTTAGAAATAATACCACATTTAATTGACATGGTGAATGATGGCCGAAAAAAACACCGTAAGAATTAGGATCTTTTATAGTATTAAATTGCTATTTTAATGGATGGTTGAGCTTTTTTTATGTTTTATTGTAACTAAACAGTAAATTAGAAATTGTTGGGTTTTTGTCTAATGGTGCGGTTTTTGTTTAATAGTGTATTTTTTTATTGGTGGTAATTTGTTTAATGATTTGTTATTTGTAATAGTGTGATTTTTATTTTCTGGTGCCATTGTTTACTAATGCGTTTTTCGTTTTTTGGTGCGATATATTAATAAGGCAGGTTCTATTTTTTGGTGCAATATTTTATCAGTGTTGTTTCATATTTTTTGGTGCAGCATTTGGGCTTTTTTTTTTTTTTTTTTTTTTTTTTTTTTTTTTTTTTTTTTTTTTTTAAGAAATGCTTCTTTAGAATTATAAGGTGGCAGGGGCCTTGCCTTATTTCCAGCTGTTGAATGAAGTAATCTGGGAAGGGATCTTTTGCTAGGTGCTTTAAGGCTAGCGGAAGGATGTTCTTTCCAAGACTGGTACTCAGAAAAAGAAAAAGATTGTTTAATAGAACGGTTCTTATTTTTTGCTGCGATTTGTGTTTTTTACCCGGATATTTTATAGGGCGGTTTGCAACTTTTTGTGCGATTATTTAATAGAACGGTTCTTATTTTTTGGTGCAATTTGTGTTTTTTACCAGATATTTTATTGGGCGGTTTGCAACATTTTCTAATGCAGTTGTTGAACCACATCAACAAATAATGTTATATTATGATGCGATGTTTGTTGGTACGGTTTGATAGACGCATCAACAAATAATAATAACTGTATTATTAAACTTCTTATGTACTTGTATATATGTATGCGAGCATAATATTCTCATACATAAATATGGATCATTGAGACCAGAGGGAGTGGGTGCGGCCTGGACCGCACTCCCCTTGCCACATAAGCACAAACACCGCCCCCAGGATGCGGTAGAGAGTGCACTGCACCCTTCTAAGGGAGCACTCATTCAAACAACTTTCCAGCAATGTGATTGGTTCCTTTTTCTTCCCTCCCTCTGATTGGTCCTTTTTATTTATTAAAAAAAATACCCAATTGTGGCACCACTCCTTGGGTGTGGTATGAAACCACACTTTTGTGGTAATGGGTGAGGTGGCACCTACGTGTCACTACGGTTTCATGAGGGAGTGTGACACTGTAACACCCGCAGATCCGGGCTAGTCAATTTAGAGACGATAAGCGTCCAAAATGACTTTTTAATAGAAGATTATTTAGAATGAATAATCTTAACCAAAATCATAGTATATGTTACAAGGATTCCGTACATATAAAGAACGCCGAAATCCGAGTTATAACGAAGAAGTTATGGCTCGTTGAAGTTTCACGGCAAAACCGGCACGACACATGGAAGCGTAAATAGTGAATTTACGATAGAAGACTTTTTAGCCTTAGTAATCTAAACAAAAGTTGTAGTATACGTTAAACCGAGAGCGTCTATAAAAAGAACGCCCAAATCTGACTTCGTATGAGGAAGTTATGATTTTTCTAAGATTTGGCATAACAGTGCAAGGCCCGAAACTCGAATTTTAGTTCGAGCGGGTTTTGGCCTACGCGACCTAAATGAGAGTTGAAGATCTCATTAATAGGAACTCAACGATAAAAAGACAGACGAAAACGAAGTATGTATGAAGGAGTTACGAATTCTTCGCCGTCATTTAACAGTCTAATCTCCTCCTACTGTTAAATTTAAGATCGGTCAAGAATTAGCCGATGGAGTCTAAATGAAAGTTGTAAATCTTGTTTTTACCTACGCGTGGAAAAAAAGAACGTCGAAAACGGAGCTCGTATGCGAAAGTTATGAAATTTTGAAAATTGGCTGATTTCCACCCTGTGTGCGATGCCACGTGTCAGCACCAGACTGTGCATGGCTGTCTCCAGCGGGTCACGACATGAATTTATGTTTCACGACGTGAAATGGCTTCCAGCCCCCTATAAATAGAGGTGTCGGGTGAAACCAGTTCCTCACACCATCTCATTCTACTTTCTCTTTCTAAAACTTCTCTCTAGCTCCCCTTAAGCCCCCTAAATCTAGGTAAACCCCCTAGCACCCGAAGGAAGTCCCGAGGCTCCCGGAGTCCCGAGAAAAAGAGCCTTTCGGATCGGGAACGCTGATCCAGCGAAGCCCGGTTTTCGAGAAAACTCGCTGTAAGTGAGCTACGCCTACCCTATCTTTAGTATGACTTATGTTTCAATATAGTAATGTTATTAGGACCTTATAATAAGTATTTAGGCTGTTATCATGAGTTATTTAAGTGTCGTTATAATATCTTTTAACCACTCGCGGTACGGGGAATCTGGTTTGGAGGGCCGCTTGGGTTGCTAGATTCAGAAGTGCTTTTATGCCGAAATGATCCTGTCCTCCGGTGTTTCATGTCTGGCCCCTGTCTGTACATAGTGGTTGAGAAATATTGTTTCGTGCTTATATAATAGTAATACTAGCAAGACTATTAATTAGTCTCATCAAGCATTAGACTAAACTCTAGTAGTAATGATACTAGGTTTTGTCCGAGGAAGATTGTTTTAAGAGTAACGAAGTGCTGTCCGAGCACCGAGTCACCACCTTTCCAGGTGAGTGCATAGTTACTTTCATCTTACACATAGATATGAAGTATTTTATATAAATTACGCGCTATGTGTGCATACTATCTGAATACTTGCTGTCTATGCTGGAGAATGATTTTATACATGTTTTAAAATGATTTAAACTGTATATGTATTTTATATCTACAAATATGTTGGGTATGACATGGGTAGATGAATAATGAGAGATAAAAGATGATGTGAGTAAACATTGGCAGCTATAGACTTAGTTCCTAATAAATAACATCAGCAACTATGGACTTAGTGCCTATTGGACAAACACTGGTAGCTATGAACTTAGTACCTATTAGGTAAACACGGGTGGCTATGGACTTAGTACCTGTTAGGTGTTGGTAGCTAAGGACTTAGTACCTGGTAGATATGGACTTAGTGCCTGTAGATAAACGTTGGTAGCAATGGACTTAGTACCTACACTGGTAGCTTTGGATTTAGTACCTGATGAATGAACTTTAGCAGCTATGGATTTAGTGCAGTGGCAGCTATGGAATTAGTGCCTGTCTTATAAACCCTAGAAGCAAGGGACTTCGAAATGAACAAATGCAGGATAGATGACTCTTAGGGTAGACCCTTAAGAGTAAGGAAGATAATGGGGATGGGTAATTGAGTTGATTGTTTGATGTTTAAAAATAATAATTATATTATTGTGGGTTGAAAACCCTATGTACTCACCAGGTTTCCCAACCTGACCCACTCAAGCTTATTGGTATCACAGGTGTCGATATGAAGCTACATTACACTGAGAGATTAAACAGATGTAGATCATTAGGGTAAATGTATATAAGTTCTGTTTATGCTTTTGTTTTTGTATTGACGATGACATCCCAAATGTTTTAAACTGAACAAAAATACATTTCTCTGGAAATGATTTTGATAATGTATTTATCATGTTTTTATGGGAACAAATTCCGCAACATTTTTATTAAAAGAAGTACTCTGATTTTTATAAAGCATAAACAAAATCGGTCTTTTTTGACCGTGAAAATGGGGATGTCACAGACACCACTCCCTCCAGCCTGAGAAGCACGTTAAATGAGTAGGTGTATCATTCTTATACAACACGATCAAGTTAAGGTTTGTAATCGGTTGGGTTTCAACAAATAAATTGTTGAGTTTGCTTATCAAGATAATTGACCACAATTATTGAATCACCGTGAAAGAGTACATGGTGGACGGTAATTAAGAACTCTGCAGATTCACCAACAGGAGCAATAATTTATTGTTCAAGATGATCAGGCAGTTCCAAACATATTTTAGGCCCGGGACGAAAGGGAAAAAAAGGGCCTTTAACATAAAATTTTCATCTAGTTTTTTATAATAACTTAATAATTGAAAGAAAGTTACTTATACTAGCTTTTAAACATAACATTTATAATAATAATAATAATAATAATAATAATAATAATAATAATTTGGTCCCCTTTAAAAGATGAGTCCTAGACGGTCAACCCTATCGCCCACCCTCTTGGACGGCCCTGGACGGCCCTGAAGATGAGCGTCGAGTTGAGTCCGATCGGATCTAGAAACATATCCACAATCTACAAATCTCGTAGCAACCGGTTACACAAGTGACTACTACGTTTCCAAAATGACAGAAAAATAGCTACGACCTGGTGTGTGGGTGTTTCAGTTGCATGTTTTACTACATGTGTGTGTGGGTGTTTTTTTTTATTTCCAGTGTGTGTGTTTGTTTGCATCATATATATATATATATATATATATATATATATATATATATATATATATATTTGAAGGTTTTGTTGTTTTAATGTGTGTGTGAGAGAGAAAGAAAGACATGTGCTCATTTATTTTTAATATTTATTAAATATAAAAAATTACTAAAAATAGAAGAATAGTTGAGTATAATAGTCTTTTCAATTTGAGAGGTACCAAAAAAACAAAGTTGCTAAAAAGACTACCGATCAAAAAATTTTAACAGTTTGGACATTTAAAAAAAAAATCATTCCACAAGGACTATTTTTTACAGTTTTATCATATTTAAACAAACAAACTCTTTGGATTTTTGGACTATTTAATTATAAAGACTCTATTAAGATAAATAAGAATCCATTCGCAATGCATCATTGCATCCAAGGTAGCAAATTATACAAAAAACTTTAAAAGTTTCCTCATCTTCTTCGTTCTTCATCCTTGATAATATACGATTCAATTTCAGCAAGCGACACAAGGGGCCTAACATACACCCCAATGGCATACACAGAATGGTTGTAAACACTACCATAAAATCCCCCAAATGAAACCTTTGGTGTAAAATTATACACAAACTGCGTAAGCGAATTGTCAACAACACGTCCAAAGGGTCCATACTTACGGATGTTGGTACCAAATGCAATCGAAACCAATTCGCCATTGTAGGCGCCATTATTATACTGACCACTTACAGAAGTCAAATACTCCCTTGGGTGATCAAATGTTACCTACATTTTTATATATACAAAAATAACAACTGTTTTGAGTTCAATGAATGTTAAAGAGAGATGATTAGATGGACATGCATGGTAATTAATACTAACCATATCAAATTTTAAACCAGTGAGTTCTCCACGAATTTCTGAACGAAACACTTTCCCATTTACAGCATATAGGAACTGGATCGAATCGATCTGATAGTGTCTATGTGAAATTAGAATTTGCACAATTGTAGTCCCTCCACCTTCGTCCCATATCGATCCTTTCATTTCTTTGGGACCCAACCTTAACATGTTCTCCATTTGACAGCGAGTAACTAATTATTCAAGTTTCCAAAACCCTAAAATAAACAAAGAGGATTCAAGAAGACTATATATATATATTCTTTGGTATGTTTTGTTGGATAGAATGGAATGACAAATGAATGGACATAGTAATGAAATGAAACATTATAATTCTATTGTCATTTTCGGTTACTATGGTAGAATAAAATAAACCATTAATATTCCATATTGTTTGAAAGATTTGAAATGATGAATGAACAGAATTAAATTAATGGACAATGACAAAATACCCTTGTAAGATATCTTTTCTTCAGCAAATTTCGATTATCATTCATATATTTAAAAATTTCTCCATAAGTAAACAATATTAAGACACATATTTCAAAATGCAGATAACATTCATCAATAATTTTTTAATTCAAACTCGTTGTTTTTCATACATTCATCATTCATGAGAACAAATAAATCCCAGAAAAGTAAATCATCGAAATCACAGAAAAAAATATCTCGAATAAAAATAAAGAATTGGACACTGGACCTGCACGGCCAAGAACCATTCCTTTGTTCTTCTTCATTAATTACATATCTTCTCCATAATCCATTTTCTTTGAGAAAATTAATCATTTTTTATCACCACAAGTTTCTTAAAAGATCGTATTTTAGGTTTTGATAAATGCAACGCCATTGTCTTCGTTAATTGCATATCTTCATAGCCATATTCTTTTCGTAGTACGCACATCAACGCCACCGTTAATCGACAGCGAGATTTTATTTTAGGATTTGATAATTTTAACAGAAGGCACACATACCTAGTTTAACAAAATCTGTAATGGAATATTGGGTTAGACAGAGACATAGAAGAGGATTTGACATGGACTAGGAGGAGATAATTAAGGGAATAAGGGGTGGTTTGGGATTCTTCTTTAAAAAAAAAATTGTTTTGTAAATGCGTTTATTATTTTATCGAGTTTTAAAAGAGTGGATTGACTTAAATGAAACAAAAAGGGTGTTATTATTCAAAGTCAAATATAAACACTAATCTATCATACATACCAATCTAACAAATCATGTTGACCTATTGACTTATTTTGAAATTTGAACGGTAGCCTATTTTGATTTTTTGTTTCCGATACCATCTTTTCCAGAAAAAACAAATAAAATAAATTATAAAATATATGAGATTTTCTTTATGGGTGCGGCTAATAAGACACCTTTAGACACCTCATTGACACATTTATAAAAAGTTAACCTATAATTAACTACTTATAATCAACTTTTTTAGAAAACAATGTAATTTCAACCAATAAAAATAAATATTTCAAAATTTAATGAGGGTATCTAGGTAAAATAAAATGTCTTTTTAGCCAACCCCTTTTTATACATACCAATCTATCCCACATATCAATCTAACCTGCTGACCTATTGACCTATTTTAACTTTGTGTCTGACTATCTTTTCCAAAAAAAAAATAATAAAATAATAAAAAATTATAAAATATATTTGTTGTAAGTTTAGATTTCCAAAAAACAAATACAAAAAACTATAAAATATATTAGTATAAATTTACCGGTCAAATTAAAAAAATAAAAATAAAAACTCATTCACAAAAAAAAACCTCTAAACAAAATACATCAATATCACTGGAAAACTCTGTTGTTGGCCGGAAATATCACCGGAAATATGTTGCTCGCAGGAAATACGTCGCCGGAGTATTTATCGCCGGAAATACAATAATTTCTTTCTATTTCTCTCTTAACATGCACTATATATTTATCTTACACCAAATACACACGAAAAACATACACCTCACAAACACCAATGTCAAATTGTAAAGATACACAATCTAAAAATGAAGAGAGAAAAGAGGGAGATAGAGGTGGCGAGTCAATAGCCAGGATGGTCCGATGGTGGTAGCTAGGGTGTTCTGACGGCTGTAGCTGGGGTGGTCCGATGGTGGTAACAAGGGTGGTCCGATGGTGGCGACAACTTGGTGGCTTCAGTGACACACCCCTCTAGAGGCTGCCGAGAGAAAATGAGGGAGTGAGAGGTGGTGAGTCGGTAGTTAGGGTGGTCAGACATTGGTGCTTTGGTGGTTGCGATGAGTTGGCGACTTGGTAGCCATTCTAACGAGAGAGAGAGAGAGAGAGAGAGAGAGAGAGAGAGAGAGAGAGACACGTTTTTTCTTGGATTGTAGGATATCAAAAGAAAATTTAGGGTTTTATGTATTTATATGAGGAAATGGGTTGTAATTGGCTTATAGGCTAAAACAATGGGCTACTCAATTTTGCTGGACATATTTGATCTAAAAAGAAAAATGGACCTAAAAAAACAACTAGAGTTTTTAATTGATTTTTGCAATTACGTTTTTATTAATTTTTTTATTTCCATTTTGCAGTGAAAAATTGGCTAATATTTCAGAATTTTCTACCGATGAAGTATAATTTATAATCTTATATTTATATGTATATATTTATTTGATATATTTATCGATTTTTTAACATTAAATTTTTCTCTCAATTTTTATATGTTTTTAGATCTCTTGAAGATTTGAAGAATTAGGTACAAAATGTGACGCGTTCTCAAGGTTTTGTTATAGTCACCAAACGATCGAATGCAACAACTTTTGGATTCACCTCTAAAGTATTTCTCTGTTGTAATCGTGGTGGTATATCCAAAAGTAAAAATGCGGAAACAAAAAAAATTAATTGTCCATTCGAACTGATAGGAAAGTATTTGAAGGCACATTATGGTTGGAAGTTAAGGGTCGTACGTGATGAACACAATCACGAACCATCAATGTATATGGAAGGTCATTCATTTGCAATATGATTGTCGGATAAAGAGACTCGTTTGGTCCAAAATTTGATAAACTTGAATCTTAAACCGCTACATATTGTTTCAACAATAAAGCTGCAAAATGAAAATAACGTGTTTTCACTGAAAACTATATATAGTTATCACCATAAGTTTACGATATATCAACGAGAAAGTAGAACCCTAATACAAAATGTCGTGCACATTTTGCATACTAAAGGGTATAATTATGAGTATCGTCTAAACGAAAGCATTAACGAGTTAGATGAGTTGTTTTTATGCACTCAATATCATTACAGATGCGGCAAGCATTTCCACATGTGGTGTTGATGGATGCTACATTCAAAACTGTGACAACCCAAAATTTTCATTCTGTACAACCATTCAATTCAATAGAAGTCAGAACAGTTTCTACTAACTTTCAAGCTTTTTGGAATAAGTTTGAGTGTTTTAAAGTTAGTACTTCAGGAGATAACAGGAGAGAGGATGCCCTAGGGTTTATTGTGCAACAATAATGTCCCAAAACTCCAAGAGTTTGGAGTTTACGACCTAAACAAAGGTGTTTACGGCCATAAACCCTAAAGGGGGTATAAATATGACACTTAGTCATTATTTACCACTTTTTCACATTTTCAAGATCCAAACTCAAATCCTCTCAAGTATCATCCAACTTTTATTCTTGATCTTCAACTTTGTAAGTGTTTCTATCCCTAAAAAGTTGATATCTTACTTAATCTAGTGATCTTACATGATTCCATCCGTGAAATCATTCCAAAAGTGTAGATCTTCAAGTTTCACCAAGAACACCAAGAACACACACTAGTGTTCTTGGACTTTTAGCACCTTTTCAAGCTTCTACCTAGTAAGTACTTCTATCCTAGTGTATATAAGACTTGTTACACTTCTAATCATCAAGAAAACACCCAAGAATCAAAGGATCAAAGGTGTTTACGATCCAAGAACACCTTGGACCGTAAACCCTAATAAAGGGGCCAAAGTGTGCCCTAGTCCCTACCAAGCCTTGTAAACTAGTTTAGATCTCATCCTTGATGTGCTTAGGACTTAAAACATCAAAAAGACCATAAACCATAGGGGTTTACGGCCGTAAACACATGGAGAAGTGGTCCATGGGCCGTAAACTCCATTTAGGAGTGAAATGATGCCACAAACACTTCCTTAGGCTTATACATGAAGCAGGATGCTTCCTTATGACTAGAAAAGCTTCAAATCGCAAAGTGGTATAAGTACCATGAGTTTACAGCCGTAAACTCATGGGTTTACGACCGTAAACTCAAGGGTTGATGGTCACAAAACCATAAACTCCAATAAAGGGTCCCCTTGAACCCTAAACTCAATAGCCAAGTCCTACCACCCTTAGATGCAATCCTTAGGACTTATAGCACTTAAATCAAGTGTTTTACATGCCTTAGGATGTCTTAACTTGGTTAATTAGTTGATTTATAACTAATTGGATACATATATGTGTCATTATATGTTAACTAGGATCCTTGTGTGTGCTCAAGTCTTCACTTGACACTTAGCATCATATATCAATCCGTTCATCCAAACCACTCACTACAGGTGAGTTCATACCCCCTTAATTAACCTTTTAAATGTTTTTTTCAATGTTTTTAAATGCTTTTATGGGGGGGGGGGGATACAAGTTGATCTATTATAGTTATTGATTAATGACTACCAGACTAGTGGATTTCTTACTTTTCAAACTATGTTTTCAACAAACTACTTTTCAAACGGTTTTACAAGCTCTCTTACATATCAAATGGTTTTATCAAACTCTTTTACATATCAAATACTTTACTTAAAGTCTTTTACATATCAAATACTTTACTTAAACTCTTTTACATGTCAAATACTTTACTTCAAATCTTTTACACTTATATTCTGTTAAATGTATATCTTTATAGATATAGTTATATAAGTAGGATTGAAAGGATTTTAGAACTGATAACTCACCCTACCTCCTGTTCCTCGTTTGGTTGTGGACTTAGGGTATCGGTTATTTGTCCGAAGGTCGTTTGAATCCTAGTTATATATTATGTATATGTATATAGATATAAAAGTTCATTCTTTCCATTCAAAACCTTTGGGTAGCAAAGGCATACATACATGTTTATACATTCAAATCATACTACTAGTAAGCTACTATAGGTGTAGTTTAGGGAGTTACTAATACTGTTACTAGAACAATGAATCATACAATGAGTCAGCTCATACATGAGTCAATACATGCTAGATAGAGAGAGAACACACAATACAGCTAGTACACACAATACATTACAATACATGCTAAATAGAGAGAGAACACAATACAGCTAGTACACACAGTACATTACAATACAGGCTAGACAGAGGGAGAACATACAATACAGCTAGCACATACATTACATATACATTTCTTCAGTTATGTGAGCCACGTAACGGAGCATGGCATCACCTGCCATGGCCGTTTTGTATCCAGAATCTCCTTAATTGGGGAGCGTATGAGTTTGTGTATAGATCTATACTGGATTGACTATCCTACACCTTGCTGCTCGCTACAGTGGGACTTGTAAGTCTACGGGTGCCAAACGTCATTTCTTACGACGTCTTACATCGTCGTTTTTCTATAGAGTCGGTAGCAGGATACAGGCCGATCACATGGTACTTTAAATAATAATTGGTTTAAGGTAGTTAGTACAGCAGTAGTTACTTAATACAACACTACAGTACTATTTCATTTTCCCATTACATTCACTTTGTGAACATTCACACAATGCACTATAATGTAAAAACTATATTTTTGGTTAATGATAGTCAGATTTGGGAAAATACATACTCTTACGAGAGACACACACACAGATACTAGATGCCTTGGTAGAAGGCTACTTTTAGTAGGAAACATAGGGTTTTCTAGGAGAGTTCAAAACGTCTTACAAAACATCTTACAAAACATCTACAAATACTTTCGTACAAATACAGACACTAATATACTTATGATCTCACCAGCTTTAAAGCTGATACTTGCTTTCAAAATAACTTGTATTCTCAGGTCACTAGTAGACAGGTACCGGAGCCAGGTTTTGAGAAGATGAAGCTCGTTCA